TGGTAGAAAAATACTAAGTTCTTTATCAAGAAGAAAAGATTTGACATGATCTTTAGTCCACATATCGATACAATGTGGATATTCCCTACAATAAAAAAAACCAATTGATTATAGTTTCATGTGATCTAATGTTGAAGTTTTCCTATAATAAGTAGAAGTGTCAGTTAATGCATAGATAGGCAACAATGGATAAAAACATACTGGTAAAACATTTTACAAAGACATTTTAAAAAATTATTCTGGTAATGGGGACTCAGCCGATTGCATTGTACGTTTAATAAGTGCCAGTACAAAAATTTCTGAGATTTATTGAATAGAAATCTCGGTGTCAATAAATGTGAATCTGAAGAATCGTTTTGTTATATTTCAGTTGACACAAATGTTACAATGGTAATGCTTTTTTTTTCATTTTCTAAGCATTGCTATGTCCTTAAAGTGTTTGTCGATGAAAAGTATAAGATAAAGTAAATTTACTAATTAAATTTCCATAATCACTAAACATCACTATCTATACAAGTTATCAAGAAGAGTACCTCATGTCTAGAATAACAACTTTCACCCTCAAAAAAAAAAAGACTTACACAACTGGACGCGGTTCTTTATTATTTTCAACGCTTGAATTTGTTTTTGGTGTACTATCCATTAACGAACTTGAATTGTGATGGACTTGATTTTGTTCGGCAAGTATTAAGTTTGAATTATTCATTCGAAATAGTCCTATCTGTTTCTTAAGTTCTTGATAAGCTTTATCGAAACCAAGTTTCGGAAAATCAATATAGATCAATGCTGATGTTAACACTCCAAGCCATCCATCAGCTTTGTAGCTAGTTGTCATAACTAATGGAATAATATGACATCGACGTTTAACTGCATAGCTAGCTTCCATTTCACAGAAAGGACTCTGTTTGTAAGCATCAGACATACAAACAAGTACAAATTCTGCATTTTCAATAGCTTTAGCCATAGCATCAAATGTAGCACCATGCATCAATCGAGAATCAATCCAAACACATAATTGATCTTTCTCGAGAGAACTTAAAATACGATGACACAGTGTTTTATCACTATGTGAGTAACTTATCATGATATCATATTGTTTTTTATCAATCATTAATGAAGAAATTGAAGAAGGTTGTTGTTGTTGTTGTTGAACTGTTTTGATTATTGTTTCTGGTTCTTTTTCTAATTTCCATATTAATGCAGTAGCTATTAGTTGTAGATCTTGTTGTGATGATGAAGTCAATGTTCGAATATGATTCATGAAAGTATCATTGTTTTTGAGAATAGTCGCAAATTCTTTGTTAAAGACTAATGCAAGAAGAATTTCAAGTGCAGGAAGTTTTGCTTTGAGTGGATTGAATTGATCTTCGAGAGCACATCGAAGAAAAAGAGAATGACCTTTTTGTTTGATTAATTCTTCTCGAATTTGATCATGTTGTGTTAATACTAAAGAGAAAAAAAATAAATGATTAGTTTCTGAATGAGTGTATTTATAAAAAAATATTTTCTTAACTATTATTATTCCTTGGAAGAAGAAGACAACTAAAACTAACCTTTAAGACTTCGAAGACTATTGTGTAGGCGACCTTCTGTACGAATACCTCCATCAATAACATTTTTAATAAAAGTAATAAAAACCGTAGCGATTCTACTCGAATTTTGAAGTTGTTTTATATCTGCTTCTGCCATAATAACAGCCAGAATTCGATAGGCATGTAAATGAATTTCATCATCATTATTTGATTTTCGTATAAGTACATTGATAAGATCGACTAATTGAAGACTTTTAAGATAAATAACAAGTTCACTATCCAGAGTAAAATAGAAGAGAATTTGAAGAAGTTGTTGAACAAGAGGTATACCAGCTGGATCTATTGTTACTTGATTTGATTCATTGACAGACAGTAGAATACGTTTGATAGTATCAGAGATATGTCGACATGCATCACGTGTGCCGTCACTAGTTATTACATCGCCAAGATCCATTCGAAATAATAAGTTAGTTAGATGTAGTAAGATATTTATCATAGCTGAATTCCATTTGATATATGGTGGCCGACCAGTATAATTCTCACTAAGCCAACTATTGAACCATTTAAGATGAGTACGTCGAATTCGTTCAATTATCTCTTGACGTCGATTACCTTCATACCAGGCAATTTGATTTGGATAATGTTCAAGTACGGTAAGTTCTTCATATGAACGAGAATTGGACTGTTCTTTAGCAATTTTTTCGAACATTTGTGTATATAAAGGAGAACAAACTTGATCAACAGATCTAGCCAACATATCTGTAAACTCTGTGTAGACATGTGACATTGTTAATAACGTTTATTAATTAAAAAAAAAAGTGTTTTAACGTGATGAAAAAAAATATGGAGTAATGTATTTTAAAAGGACATATATGAAGTTAGATTTCTTTTCTTTTTCTTGACGACAAAGTCTATATTAGCAACATACAGAAAAAAAAAAGAAAATATTTCAACCATAATGGAACTTTTAATGTGTCTTTCATGTTGATTCTTTTATAGAAGTTGTGAAATGACGGCAAGAAAAAAACAACTTCCCTATCAACCTTCGTACAGCGATGAATATAGAACGTATAGAAAATAAGTAACTTTTTCTCTACAAAACAGAACAACACATTTACTATAAACAGGAGTAGATAGTTGATTCGAGTTCGAATATAACTGAAGATAAAAAAAAAACAAAGCATAAGTTAATCATCACGCTTAGCCAAAAATAACATTTAACAGCTGAAGTTTAATAATCAAAGCTATGATTCTCGTCCTCAAAATACTGGATATAAAGTTCGACTTTACTGTTCAGATAGACGAGCATTGGTGGTAGCTTTATGGATGGCGATCGCTGTTCTTACACCATTAGTCTCGATTGTAGATGTTTCAATTATGTTCTTATGGTAAAATATATCTAATACACTTCATTGAAGTTCATCAAATATCCAAAATACTATTTAGAATCATGACAAGATTCGATGAATGTCATCAATATGCTTTTTCTCAATTCTCAGATTGTCCATTCGAGATATTTCGATACAAAGACTTCAATCTCACTTTTCTGGTACCTCACACAATGTGATACCCTCGTGTCTCCTTTGTGTAGTATCATCATTAATTTTCCTTTTTTTTTGCAGCTGTTTTATTGATTTTCAAGTCACATTCAGTTTATATTATAATTCATCCCAAGTTTATTTTTCAGAAGTGATATTTTGACTCTTAAATCTTCATTTATATTCGAACTCGTATATAGACAATTCATGATAACCATAGTTGATTACAATGTTGCTTTGTTTTGCTTCTAACAATAGGACAATTCGAAATATATATATCAGATTTTATCTAATGACGTGAATGAATATATCAATCAAATAAGTCTATTTCTAAAATAAAAATGAAGCATTACTTTCTATCTGTAATCTGATTGATAATTTATGTTTTTTACTCATAAAGTGAGCTATTGTAATCATTCAATAAAACATTGACTTAAGAGGTTGGGATTACTATTTAGAATAGTACATTAATTTCTCTTTCATTAAAGCAACATTACTGTCTTAAGTTAAGAGAAGCAAAATTATTATATATTATCAATGTGAGCTAATTTAAATTTCACCGTTCGAATTTTCCAGTGGTGATAGCATATTAAATTCATCTATTCGATCATATTCATGTATATTAGAGTAAATTCTCTCTATAACAATGAAAAAAATATCTAACGACAAAACCTTTCTTGGTGTCAAATCGCTTTTCTACCGAGACTATGTTCATTTAATGAGTGCTAGAATGGTTTAGTTTTCTGGATCTTCGTTCTTGAGATACCGAAATTTTACTGGGTTTTTCAACAAACCAATTGTCGTTTTCGTCAAGTCATGTGAAAAATCAACTTTCGAGTTTCAACTTCCAACGTTGTACGAATAAAGTTCCTAATGGGATTAATTTATTGTGTAAGTTTTTCTTTTACACATGATGGAGAATATTGAATGTCTCAGAATAGAACACACTAGAAAAGTTACAATTTGCTCATTAAACAAATGTCATTAAGAATCTTGTTCGTGTCAAGTTTGAAGTCAAAACTCGAAAGTTAATTGTCTACATGGTCTGAGGAAGACCACAGCTTTTTGTTGAACAACCTAGTAGAATTGTGATATCTGAAGAACAAAGGCCTGAGAAATCAAACCATTCGAGACTTTTCTATTATTCACTAGTAGTCATTAAATGAATATCATCTCGATCGATAAGTGATTTGACACTTCAAGAAGGTCTCTCGTTTATTCATGAATATTTTCAGATAATTGTAAATACATGTTTTCACATGAAAATGAAAAACTTATCTGCATAATTGTTAACTTATTATTCAAAATGACATCATATTGGACTTGTGTTTTAGTGTTAGTTTTCTTTTATTACATTTTTAAAAGATCAAATAAAATGATTGATGATGAAGAAATGTATCTCCAAATAGATTGAATAAAACAATTTTCCTGTGATGAGCGATAGCAGCTACATCATGTTTCATATTTTAATCCCATCGAAATTGCTCTAACAACTTTTTTTGCCATAAAAACAATTATTTTTTCGATTCATATGGAATTTTCATCTACCATATTCTTTGTAACTAGCTTAAAAAACTACTAACAGTCATTCAACATGGTCTTTCGTTATTTTCTTTCTTCAACGATTATAAAATATACAAAATTTTATCACTCATAAAAACTTACGTAGTAGTTTTGTTATTCAAAACGTTTAAATATCGTATATGTTCCATTGAAAAGCTAAAAACAATTTATAATTACATCAATTTGTTCTATTTCATCTGTTTTCCTAATATCAAGCGGTCACGCAAATTAGATATAGGTAGTGCGGTTCTAATTTTACATATACATAAATGAACATGAGTTGAGTAACAATAAAAGAATGAATAAAATTAAAATCTGTCACTGATGTATGCAAAGATGAATGATTTTTTACAAGAAATTTCATAAGTCAGATAAGATTACAAACAGTTGATATTGGATTCAATGAATTGTTAGCTGTGAATGGTATATAGATTTTAATTTCTTCGAGAAAAGTAAGATAGTCTTTTAAACTGAGTATTGCATGTTGAGATCTATTAACGTCTTCTTTCAATGATAAAAACATTCCTTGTTGATTGGCTTGACACATGAAATAAGCTTGATGTAGTAATTTTCCGTTCATTCCGTCTAGGATAGGTAGAAAAGCATCAAGTTCTTTGTCAAGAAGAAACGATTTAACATGATCTTCAGTCCACATATCAATACAATGTGGGTATTTCCTACAAAAAAAAACAAAAAAAAAAGTTATTTACGTTGGCATTATTCGATCTATAGTTTTCTTATAAATTATACTTTAGATTTTTGATGAAAATTGGAAGATAAAATAAATTTACTAATTTAATTTCAAAAATCACTAAACATCATTATCTATACAAGTTATCAAGAAGAGTACCTCATGTCTAGAATAACAACTTTCACTCTCAAAAAAAAAAAAGACTTACAAAACTGAACATGGTTCTTCGTTATTTTCTTCACTTGGAACTATTTCCGATGTATTATCCACCAACGAACTTGAATTATGATGGACTTCATCTTGTTCAGCAAATGTTGAACTTGAATTATCAATTCGAAATAGTTCAATCTGTTTCTTAAGTTCTTGATAAGCTTTATCGAAACCAAGTTTCGGAAAATCAATATAGATCAATGCTGATGTTAACACTCCAAGCCATCCATCAGCTTTGTATTTAGGTGTCATGACTAATGAAATAATATGGCATTGACATTTAACTGCATAACTTGCTTCCATTTCACATAAAGGATTCTGTTTGTAAGCATCAGACATACAAACAAGTACAAATTCTGCATTTTCAATAGCTTTAGCCATAGCATCAAATGTAGCACCATGCATCAATCGAGAATCAATCCAAACACATAATTGATCTTTCTCGAGAGAACTTAAAATACGATGACACAGTGTTTTATCACTATGTGAGTAACTTATCATGATATCATATTGTTTTTTATCAATCATTAATGAAGAAATTGAAGAAGGTTGTTGTTGTTGTTGTTGTTGTTGAACTGTTTTGATTATTGTTTCTGGTTCTTTTTCTAATTTCCATATTAATGCAGTAGCTATTAGTTGTAGATCTTGTTGTAATGATGAAGTCAATGTTCGAATATGATTCATGAAAGTATCATTGTTTTTGAGAATAGTCGCAAATTCTTTGTGAAAGACTAATGCAAGAAGAATTTCAAGTGCAGGAAGTTTTGCTTTGAGTGGATTGAATTGATCTTCAAGAGCACATCGAAGAAAAAGAGAATGACCTTCTTGTTTGATTAATTCTTCTCGAATTTGATCATGTTGTGTTAATACTAAAGAGAAAAAAAAATAAATGATGAACTTCTGAATGAGTGTATTTATAAAATATATTTTCTTAACTATTATTATTCCTTGGAAGAAGAAGAAAACTAAAACTAACCTTTAAGACTTCGAAGACTATTGTGTAAACGAGCTACATAAGGAACACCACCATCAATAGCTTTCTTAATAAAAGTGATAAAAACAATAGTAATTCTATTTGAAATTTGCAGTTGTTTTATATCTGCTTCTGTCATAATAACAGCCAGAATTCGATAGGCTTGTAAATGAATTTCATCATCATTATTTGATTTTCGTATAAGTACATTCATAAGATCGATTAATTGAAGACTTTTAAGATAAATAACAAGTTTACTATCCAAAGTAAAATAGAAAAGAATCAAAAGAAGTTCTCGAACAAGAGGTAGAACAGCTGGATCAATGGTTGTTGGATTCGATTTACTAATGTTCAATAAAATACGTTTGATAGTATTAGTGATTTGTTGAAACGCATGACGTGTATCATTGCTAGTAATAACATCATCGAGATCCATTCGAAAGAATAAGTTAGTTGCATGCAACATAATATCATTCATAACTGAACTCCATTTAATATATGGTGGTAAACCAGTATATTGCTTACTTAACCAACTATTGAACCATTTAAGATGAGTACGTCGAATTCGTTCAATTATCTCTTCGCGTTTATTTCCTTTATACCATGTGATCTCATTTGGATAATACATGAGTATAGTACGTTGTTCATTTGAAAGATAATGAGGCTCTTCTCTGGCTACTTTTTGAAACATTTGTGTATATAAAGAAGAACAAACTTGATCAACCGCTCGAGCAATTTCAACTGTAAACGACGTAGAATTTACAGTCATGGTTAACGCACAGTTTATGTCTTAAGAATTGTTAAAATGTAATGTTGCAACGTCAAAAAGAAAAAGAAAAAGAAAATTCTTATTTTTCCCTTTGACGTTAATGCCAAGACGATGAAATAGAAAATCGACAGAAAGAAAATATGAACGTATTATGCTAGAAGAGTTTCAGTAAAGATAGCATGTTAAACCCATCTTCAACAGTGTGTGTCACGCAGAAATTATGAGATGATGTTAAGAAAAAAAACCTACGTATTTCTTTCATTACATTGAGTAGCAAAAAGCGCATTACAAGAAAAACAAAACAAAATTTTTTTTTCTGCAAGATAACACGATGAAATTAGTTGTACAACAATTTACTCGTAACTGAAGTTAGTAGTCAATGAAGATCTTTTGAAAAATGAAAACATAAAAAAAGAATTCTTTACTTTATCAAAGTTATATCATTTTTGTTCCCCAATGATGTACGTGACTACTTTAATCAAGTGCAAACTTAACAGTTTTTATCTGTCAAATGCAATAGCAATGCCAAGTTACTTTTTTCTTTTTCTTTTTCCATTATAACAGTTGAACAAAACTCATCGAAGGAGTAATTATTATCTAACCATCCATGAAACACCTACTATCTACGCAACTTCCTGATGCTTCTACTATATTTAAAACATCATTTACTTCTATTAAAGTATTAAAATAAGACAATTTGTCACAAACATTTATTCTAGAACTTCAATGAAGTATATTGATAATTGATGGAAAAATGTTTAATTAAAGACTACTAGAATATTTAATAATCTTAAATATGATTAGTTTGTCTGTTATTTGAGCTAGTTTTCATAATAGAAAGTGCAAATATGAGTAATATTCTGGACTTTATTTAAAAAAAAAAATAACAAAAAAAAAAAAAGATTTTTTAAAAACTTGTTGTATTTTCATCAATATTTTCATTAAAAATTTCTTTTAGAATTTTTTTTCGTTTAATCGATTCAATATATAATCGATTTTCTACTATATCAGGATGATAGGGTGGTAATGTTTTTAAAAATTGTTCAGTTGATTTTTCTATACTTTCTATAGCTTCATCTAATTTTCCTTGACTTGAATAAACAAGTGATATATTAAAAAGTGTTATACCAACTATTGAATGATTTTCTGGTAATGATATTGATGCAATTTCAAGACTTTTAAAATAACATTGTAATGCTTCTGAATATTGTTCTTCTCGATAATACATTAAACCAATATTATTATAAAGTAATGCAAATGATGAATGTGTTAATGGTAAATATTCTTTTTGACATTCTAAAGCAAGTTTTAAATAATATAATGATTCATTAGATCGACCAATTTTTAAATAAACATTTCCTAAAGTATAATAAGAAGAACCTAATGTACTAGAATTACGTGGTACAATACGTTCTTGAATTTCAATTGATTTTTTATAATTATCTATAGCTTCATTATATTTAAGTTGTGCAAGATATGCATCACCTGTATTATCATAAGTTAATGCAAGTTCACCATCATGTGATTCAGTTACTTGTTCAAGAATTTTGAAAGTACGTTGAAATGATTGAATAGCTTCAGAATATTTTTCTTGTCTTAAAAAAAGAATACCTATATTATTTGTATAATTACTAATTGAAAGTAAATCTGGAGTATTTGTACGAAGTTGTATATTAAGTGCTTTTTGATAATATTCATGAGATTTTTCAAAATTATCTAAACGTAAATACATTCCAGCTATATTACCATAAAGTGTAGTTAATTCTAATGTATTTGGTGAAATAAAACGAAGAAATGCATCTAATGAAAGATGATATAATTCAACAGCACGTTTATAATCATCTTGATTACGATGTGATGTTGCAAGTGCAAGACAACTAGCAGCTATTGAAGTTTGAATATTTACATCTGCTTTTAAAGTTTCATCATTAAACATTGTTTCAACTATTTGTTCAGCTAATATGTGTTGATTCATTACAATCATTAATTTTATTAAGGTAATCAATTGAGAAAAACTTTTGATTTCCGTTCGTTTAGTCTCAAGTATTTGTTGAATTTTTTGTTGATCTTCATATTTAACTAATGTTAAATGAATATAAGGAATTTGATTTTCATTAATATTTTCTTTTTCAACTTTAATTAAACGTCCCATAATACCCATATTTAATAAAACATCATTATTATTATCAATTAAATATCGACGTGAACTTATATTAGCACATTTAAAATGTGCTGGTATATCAATACGAATAAGAATTGGTATATAATCTTCAGTTAAAGTTGGAATTTCTTTAGCAATACGAATAGCTCGTAATTGATCTGTTGAACCAAATAAAAATTGAGGAAATACAATGAGATCATCATTTAAAAGATTTTTTTGTAAATTATCAAGATCATCTCTTTGCATTGTTTGTCCAAGATAAACTATTATTGAATCTTTTACGGATTCATTTTCTATTTGTTGAAATAAATCTTGAATAAATAAACGAAGTTTATATAAAATATCAGGTTCAGGAGTACGAAGAGCTTTATTTAACATCTAAAAATAAATGATTTGTTTGTTTTTTTTTTTTCATTTTTAACTTTAATTATTTATAAATAAATAAATTTACTTTTGATAAAAAACATTGTCTTGAAAACCAATAAATTGCTTGATTTTTTTGATAATTTTTTTCAAATTCATCAATTATTTTTAATTCTTCATCATTACCATCATATTCTTGACGTGAAAAATTAATTAATTCTTGTAAATTATTTCTATTTTCATTTTTATCAAGAATTATTTCACTTAATAATTGACAATATATATAAGTTGTAGGAAGTGTAGTTGAATTTGATGACATATTTATATACATTACTAAATCACGTTTTATTTTATGTATATCTTTTGATATTTGTTCATATATATCATTGAAATTTTTATATAAACCTTGAACTTTTAATTGTTTAAATGATGAATAATTAATTTCATTATTATTATCAGATAAAATATAAATAGTAAATATTTGTTGAAGTCCTTCAATTCTTGGAAGAATTGAATTAACAAATAAATTTGAAAGAATAAAGATAATTTTTTCATTGAATACACCATTTATAAATGCAACACAATCATCAATATCATTGAAAATTTTTAAGAAATTAATAAGACTACGAAATTGTTTTATTATTGATTCATCAGGATATGAAGAATGTAAATAAATAAGGGTAAAATATTCAACATTACCTTTTTCTCGAGGTGCACTATCGAATAAGACTTTTGGACTTTCGATTTGTTGTTCTAATTTTAAAAAGAAAAAGAAATAATAGATATATAATAAAACATAGTGGAATTTTCTATTGCAGAGAAAGTAAGTTCAATCGATTTGTAAGAAGAACATATTACATTTTATGAAACACGATCTAAAAGGAGTTTTGAAGTATAACAGGACAAAAATATGCATCCTCCTTCCCCAGCTGTGGCAGATGCTAGTCAAAGACTATCATAAATCGTGGCTAGAGATATGCTGAATCAAGTTTTTTTTAGCAGCGGTATCGATCTAGAGAAAACTATTCCAAAATTTATTCGTATGAAAACTAAAATAATTCATTAGCACTTGATTTTTTTATTTATTTAAGCTGCGACTAATACTTTTTTGAATCTTCTCTCTTGAATATGAAAAAAAATATATTCCAAAATAGATAAAATAAGACAATTTTTCACCGATTAACAAGAGTAGCTCATTCAATTATGTTAATTGAATCAAAGTATTTTAAAACGCTTATTGAGTTATCATGCTGTCTTTTATTGCTAGTGAAATTTGATCTGAATAACAAATCGTGATTTCACTGATAAAATTGAGCAAAGATTCTCTTAGATTGCTTTGCTTTGATATTTTTCTTGGTTGTTTAGTCAATTACAAAGTTTTACTTATTTGTCATTGTCACTTTGTGATCGAAAAAAATTTAATCGATATGTAAACAGTATTGATAGAATTATTTTTTTCTCAAGCTCGGTTTACTCGTCTAGTTACGAAATGATTATTCTAATATAATCGATAAATAAATTTGCCTAGTAAAATATTATTCGAAATATTTTACAAAAATACATACGTTGTATTAATCCAAGTCGAGTTAGTAATATTTGAGTTGCATCATTAACAATTGTAGTATTATTTGAAGTATTCCAATTTAATGAAATTTCTTGTTCATCTGAATTACTTTCAATATTCGATGATAATGAACATTGAGTACTTTTACTTGATAAATCAAGTATATTTTCATTAGAAATAACATTCAAATTTGAATGTCCTACTAAAGAATAATACATAAATTTCTTAAGAGATTAGAATTTTCAAACTTGAATTTTGCTCGATATTTAATGATGACTTGAACAGATTTTTATTTGTTTGTTCATGAATATTTGGCGATGGTGAATCAAGTGATTCACTCATAGATAACATTGTTGCTAATTGAGGAGGACCTTAGAGATAAAATAGTCATTATTTTCCTGTGAAATTATTTTATATTAAACATCTTCTGTTATGTTCTATTTATTTTTATAATTTTTAATTAAAATAGTTTTTCAGAAAAAAATGAAAATGATTTTAAAGATCCAAGAAAAGGTTTTCAACTCAAAATCTTGAAAACTAGACTTATCTTTATATGCGCTTCACCAAGAATGTAGATCATTGGCATTGTGATGCCATTATTACTTGATTACAAAGAAAGTTATGATAGACTGCACTTATTTTTTACTAAAAACATGATTAATTCTTGAAATTTTTACATGTAGCTTAAGTCTCGTCTACAGTCTTTCTTTACCCAGAAGATAAGTTCATTTGCTCGAATATTGATGTTTTTGAATTCTTGGAACTTACAAGATTAGTTATCTTTAGTGCGTGATTCATTTTTGAAACGTCTAGGTTATACTGACCAACTGTTGAGAAAGCTTCTCAACAAGTTTGAACTTGTTTCATTGAACTATTACCGAGTTATTGAACTTCAAAGAACAGTGAATGGTTTCTCTCCACAACAATGATTACTGTAAAATGAACATAGTCTTCGAAACGATTGCTGAAGTTCAATGAATGACCTACATTCTTGGTGAAATGTAATTTACTAAAGGGAGTCTTCCATAGTATCTGGCACATTGTTCCTTCGTGGTAGAATTCGGCGCTTCAAAAAAAACAACTGAAACCGAATCGGAACCACCGAACTCTACTCCATGGTGGTCTTTTAGTGCGAGAGAGGATTTACCATATATTGGTTTCAATGGTAATTCTGGACTGCTAGGTAAGAAATCAGATAAATCTTCTTCAGACTGCTGTTTATCGTTCGATTGATTGCGTATTTGTGTATGCGAATTGGAAGGTGTGGTTATATCAGAAGAAAAACCTTCACTTGCTGAAAATATAATTATTTAATTGATTAAGAAACATTCATTTACAACGCACAAGCTTTATTATTAGATGTTGTTGATCGAATAAAAATTCTAGGTGATTCCATCTAGAGAATCGTTTTTTATATTTAATTATAAAAATATTAAATATAGTAACCTTTGATTTTCGTTCATTAGATTGACCTAAATTTTATTTTAAAAATATGAAAAATTAAAACAAAAAAAAAAAATTACCGTTTGATAATACATTTGATGAAGGAGCTTTAATCTGTTGGATAAGAAAAAAAATATATACATATATATATATTGTTTTTTGAAAAGAAAAATAAATCTAATTTTACTTTGGTGTAAGAATTTTGTCTTGAAAATGAAAATGAAGTTAAATCCGATGATGTTGACTAAATAAAAATTAGAAAATCTAACAAAATGAAATTTGATCAAATTACTAACGGTATTATTATCAAGTTCACATCTAGATTAAAAAAAAATAGACTTTTCTAACGAAAAATTTAATTGTATTCTCTTAACTCGCAACATGGTTTTGATCCAAAAATGTCTTCAATATGAAATAAATGATTATGTCGATTTTTATGAATTAATCCATGTTCACAACAAGCTATCATTTCATCTTCAAGTAAACCATTTATATAAAATTTTAATTTTAATTGTGATTTATTTCGATAACGTTTTGATTTAAATGTTAATTGATCTTTAAAAAAAAACATATATATATATATATATATTCACAAATATTTATATATGAAACAAAAAAAACCAGTTACCTCCACATCTTAAACATCCTTTGAATACTGTTCGATTATGTTGAATAATTTCTATTTCATCAATATGTCTTCGTCGAGTATTTGGACATTGATAAGTTAATGTTACTAAACAATATTCTGTTTGCTAAAAATAATAAAAAATAAAAAATTTTGATTATTCGAATAAAAAAAAGTAAAAGTACAAACTTGATGATGATAATTTCTATATTCATCATCTTGAGAATATGATCGATGCCTTCTTAATTCCTAGTTATTTAATTAATAAATTATAAATTTATTCATAAATAAAAACAAACTCTAAGACAATAAATAAAAGATTGATATTGTTCTTGAAGATCTTCTTCAAGTTCTCTATTAAAATCAATAATTCTATTTGGAATATTTTTGACAAATTAAATCTAACTTACAAATCATTTAAATCTTCAATCAATCGACGTCGTCCACTCCTTAAAAGATAACTCATCGTTTTCAATAAAGATAAACGCACTCAACTTCCTTCTCTTCTATTTATGAATATGTGTTATTGTACATAATATTCATTGCGTCGTTATAAAAAAACCAATATATATGAAGAAAAAGAACGCAAGAAAAAAAACGCAATGAAGCTTCTCTTTTTATTGGATATTTACCAGCAATACCTATGTTTGTTAATGTTTTTTTTCTTCTTACGATTAATATTACGTATAGAAACATCGAAGAGCGGGTGTTAATGACGATTTTCGTGAAAGGAAATGGCGTCTTTTCCTTTGATTTTTTTCCTCTCGTTAGTTTTTATTTTGTTTAATTGTAAGTACTGTAAAGATACGAGATAACATAATAACACATGGGAATTTTCCCGTATTAGTAAAAAAACAAATCATTATTTTTAGAACAGGATCACTCCCACGTAAAATATTCAAAAAAAAACATTGGCTATTATTTTTAGACTTTGATTATCAATAATTGTGTTTTTTTTTATTGGAAATAAGTATAATTTTCGGAATCAGCATGCAAAAAGATACTAGTAATTCTATCTTACATTGGAAAAGATTTCCAATCAAATTTTATCTGTATAAAGATACTGACCTAAAATTTTACGAATAGAACTCCGCAATATAAAACAAATCATGAAATAAAAACAAAAGTTGACTAGGAAATTGTAGTTTAAAATAATCTTTTTGATACACTAAAAAATAAATGTGTAACTGAGCATTTTTTAATGATAGGCAGTATGCATTAATAAAGTCATTGTTTAAGATGATTTTATTTTTATCTTCTAGAGAATCGAACTATAATCTATCATTTGAACTCCTATTGAACACACACACGGAAGAATATACAAAAAGTTTCAGCCAAAAACTATGGTCCTTTGTCGAGATTTTGGACTTCCAACAAATAGTTGCTTGCTATAGTCATGTTATAAAAAACCAAGTTTCCTTAAAAATTCAATATTTCGATAAAGAAACATTCTCTTATAACACGTGTGTAAGACGTACCATAAGACAAATTTGTTAATGGTGTAATTCATATATATTCGTTCTCTTTCTTTCGTTCTGTCAGGTATTTCCCTATGGCATTCTCTTGGTTTCTTGTTTTGATGCAATTACTCATCTTTATTTTCAGCTGTATGATGTTACCTATTAATATACATACGGATTATCTCTACGTGAGAGATCATCTAATTTAAAGTTTGTAAATAATCTTCTATATACAGCCACATTAACGGATATAAGACATTCTTGTCGGTTGAAACTTTTAGAATATTTCAAACTTCATTAGATCTATCTATATCCTCAAGACGTTTACAAAAAAACATATTGGGGGAGTCGATAAGCGCCAATTCATTTCGAAAACTAAGATATAAGCTCAGTTTTTATTTATTAGTTTTAGACAAAAATTTTTCAAAATTTTATTTTGATCTATCATAGAAATTATTGAATTGAAGAGAGAAAGACGTTATTCATATGTATCTTGTCATAAGATAGTTATTGTGATATTGTGTTACCAATGCTAAGAAGCAACATTCAACTTCCATCAAATTCCAGCGCACTTTAGCAAAAATCATTCGATCAATCTCGTGAGTTGTCGACTTGCCCCACTCCTGGCGATCACGGGACATTCCTGTATACTAATATCGAAAAGCAAAATTTCCGAAAATTATCTCAAGACTAATAAAAATCATACTTAAAATAATATATAATTATTTTCTCTCTATTTTACTTTCTACATACAGATAAAGTAGTCCAAATATCATTAAACAGGTTTATATTCTAAAATTTCTTTTGACAGGTTGATCATCTTTGAAGAAAAAATACATTTTATCGGACAAAAATAGTTTAATTCATGCTTCCTGTAAGTATCTCAATTTCTCAGGTGAGGATACCTCAATTTTCACATTTCACATTTAACTACTATAGAAACTCTACTGATTTTGAGTCAATTTATAACTAATAAATGTATTGCATGTATATTTTCTAAATTAATCACGTACAAGTTTGTAATATTTTTCTTTTTTATTTAACTTGAATATGATACATTTACAAACATTTTAAAAAGGATTTTATTTTGTATTTATATGTCTATACAATCCTCTTACAGACTGTGACAGACGAATTAGGAACCTCTCTTCATAATAAATGAACTATTATCCATTTCAAAAAAGAATGGACTCGGTTGTTTGTTGAATAACTTGGCAAAACTGATGATTATAGATCTCGAGTTTTCACCGTTAGAAAGAGCATGAATCTGGGTACAAGTCTATCTAAGAATCAAAATACCGGAAAAGTTTTCTAGGAGATTCCAGGAATTTTTTCGAAAATCACTGTCTGATGCGCTTGATTAGCTGTATTTTCAAGTTCAATATAGCCATATTGTAACCCAATGTTTACTTTATAGACTCCGAAATTTTTAAGCATTTTCGACCTTTCCTAAGTATTTATCTGAAAATGAAATTGGAATCTCCTAGAAAACTTTTCAAGTATTTTGATTCTCAGATAAACTTGTATTTCTACTCATGCTCTTTTTTTAAGCGGCAAAAATCCAAACTCGATAGCTATCAACGTCGCCGAGTTATTCAACAAGCAACCGAGTTCATTCTTTTTTCGTAACATAAAGATTCTTCTGTCATCATTAGATACACATCGGAAGTAAGAGTAGGTGCTGCTAGAATCTTTTTTTTATTATGTCTCACGTTTTGATAATAGTGATGCCGTTATTGTTTTATACTCTCTGTCAATACCATGTATGTGCACAAAAAGAGAAATAACACTTAGTTGTGAAAAATAAATTTCAAGAGAAGATTAAAATTTATTCTAAAAAAGCTGAATAAATATTTTTTTTTTGTACAGTTTTTGACACATCCTGCTGGTCTTAACGATGACGATAGCTAAAGATAGCCATGCTACCCTTAACCCTTTTTCATATTATCATTTATTATTTTAATCTATTACTAATATATGAGATCTAAATAGTATTATTAAAAATTACTATCAGTTATTTATTTCCGAATTATTGTACCTCTCCTTCTTAAACATATTCAAAATAGATGATATATAAATAGATGCATAGAGAATCATTATGAAAATTTTTCAATGTTGTCATAACTTGCTTCTCTTTTCGATCGTTTCTATAGAATGAAGAGTCACAAGTATGAATGTTTTTAGGATTTTCTTAATGATGCAAAGATCTAATTGTAAGCAAAAGCTGAAATCAGATACTCGAATTCATCTATGACTATTCCTTTGTAATAATACATGGATCGGTTTGTTAGTAACGAAGATATATTAGAAGCAGTTTCTAGGAACAACAGCATGGGTACAAGAAAATAGGTTCACATTGTTCGATATAAACTGAAGCACTTCATAGAGCTCTGCAGTTGTTGCTAGCTAAATCAATGTGTTCTATACTCTATATTACACACATAATTTTTTCTATTATCAATTCGATAAAACAATTCTTTTCAATACCGTCATGTTATACAATTATACCTGGTTTAAAGAAAGAATGAAATTACATATCTCATCTGTCAGACCTTGAGGATATTAAACTATGCAATCAAATATTTGCTTCTCTCGAGTTTATTAAAATTAAGGTTATTTTAAAGGACTAGAATATTACTTGTTTTTTTTCCTAAAGACAATTATATTTTGCCATTTAAATAATTTTTTGAATCCATTTTTCAACGACTTGATTCACTTGTTTTGGATTTTCTTCTTTAGTCTAATGACTAGTTTCTAATTCAATTGTTTCTAAATCAGCGATATACTTATTTTGATCAGCAAAAAATTTCGGAAGACATATATAACCTTTCATACCAGCAATATAAAGAGCTGGTCATTTTATACTGAGATCAAGATTTTTTCATCATCTCAATCAATATTACCCATAGTTGATCTATACCAATTTAATTTCGGTTGCATTCCTTCAATAATACATTTATGTATAATTTTATAATCTTTATCTTTTAAATATGAAGTTAGAGTTGTCGTTTTTTCGTTTGCTAATCATTCTCGAACTTTGATATTGACAAATGGATTCGTGAAGGAAAGTTATAAGATATTGAGCCATTGATTTAGTTTTGTATTCATTTGTATCCAATGGAGAATATGTTTTACTATAACTCATTAAGTTTGGTGCTAAACAGTCATATTCTTTCTTAGAGAAATATTCAATTAAGTAACGCCAACAATAGAATGATGATGGAAAACCATGAAGAAATAATAAGGTAGGTTTTGAATCATCTTTTGCCTTGATATAAATATATTCATAATTAATACCATCATCAACTGTGTAATTCTGTGGTTCAAACATAATATTCACGTGATCAAGTGAATCTAATAATAACCAAAAAAAAAAAAATTTACGCAAGAACAAATATAATGAGACGATGACGAATCTTTTTTTGATCTCGCATAAGAACTGGGCAAATAAAAAATATGGGTACCCTCGTTCGTATCTTTTCTTTTTTATTCTATATTCATTTTGTTATTTTTCTGTATTCTAATATCTATATTAAGTTTGATCTAAATTGCAAGAATCTAGAGTTGTCTTAATACTAATACGCTGTCAAGGTATTCAAAAGAACCAGCATCTTATTATAGTCATCATTTACAATATAAATTTATAGTTTAAGATTTTGAGTGAACTCAAAATTCTCAAGTTCTGGAATACACAATGAATCATCTGGTGCATTGAAGGTAGAGTACTTGACTAAGATCCTGGAGTATACTAGTGTTAGGGTAACTTTTTGAGTATCTTGCTGCGAAATACTTTCATGAGACATCAATGAGTAGTATAGTCAAGACTTAGTCATAAATGATTGATTTAATGTTTGTCATTATAATAATTTTTGGAGACCTTTATGAAAAAAAAAAGTTATTGGTATAATGGTCCGCGAATCTGTAATGTGGAAATACGTTTTTGTTTATTCTTACGAAAAAACAATTCAACTATAGAAGCTTGCTACGTCATTTAATAAAGCATTGC